TAGTTGTATATAATTCTTTATTCTTTTCTATATCATATTTGTAATTTTTAATAGTAACAGACGTCCCTCGTGAAAATCAGCAAATCGTTGACGAGGCTAACGTCTTTAAATAAAGTTTACACACACACACACACACACACACACACACACACACACACATACATACATACAATTGTTTTCAGTTCTGGTTTAGCGGGGACTAAGCTTTGTTTTGTGCCACAAATCATTGTTTGTAGAGAGGCGGTTTTGATGAAATTGCAATGTATAATTACTGTAAATTTAGTCTGCGTAGCTGGCGGTTTTAAGGGGTTGGGTCCCGGGCAGCACAAATGAGGGAGACGAGGCGCGCGAAAGGCGACTCGCCCGCGTTTTCGCCTTTCCCGCGCCTCGTCTCCCTAATTTTCTCGCTGCCCGCGCCTCAACCCCAACCCCTTAAAACTGCCAGCTACGCAGGCTAAATTAAATTGAACAGCTACTAATTCAGTTATCGTAATAATATCCGGAATTATCAAGGCCTCGACTTTGATGATTTCGGATATCACAAAACTGGCTTCGTCAATAAATAACTATTTATTATATAAACGGTAATATCGAAAATTTAGTTTAGCTGGAAAGTGGAAAGCTGTCAACAGCGCGGGTTTCTTCGTGGGGGGGGGGGGGAGTCTATCAGTATAATCAGATAATACTTTCGTTTGTGGAAACACCACGTACTAATTTATTACTACAAAGCTTTCGACCCGTAAGCCCGGATCTTCATAAGTGCTAATAATATGATGAAGATCCCGGCTTACGGATTGAAAGCTTTGCAGTAGTAAATATATATATATATATATATATATATATATATATATATATATATATATATATATATATATATATATATATATTGTGTAGACTAAGACATGATATCTGAAGATAATTTAATAAAACCTAAACCTATTTACGATAAAAGTTACTCGAGTTTCACGCACAAAGGCGATCATCAGACTAAAGTGCTTTTACGGTGGATTGTAGTTATAAGCGTAAAATTTCCTTTCGTGACAACACTTAGCTATTAATTCTGATCTTTTGTTCAGTAGTGATTGTTTATCTGCATTTAAAATGCAGATTTTCTCGGATAGGCACAAGTTGCATATCTTTCCTCCACTCCTATAAGCATTTGCACGCTTAAGGATTTTCCACTCGATTGCGTAAGCTGTGTCGGATTCCTTTAATTCCCAGCTGAACTTCGAGAGCGTTGTACTTCCAGCGTGCTCAACATTGTTGAAGGATGATTTGTGGTTTCGGTACCGCGTTTTGAATTCGTTTTCTGTCATTCCTATGTATATTTTAGGTGGCTGGTTCGATGGGGTCACTGTAGTTTGGTATACAATGCTCTTTGTCTTGCATGCATTGTTTAATGGGCATTTCTTCTCGTCTTGGCAATTACACTGACTGTTAACGTCATTTGTCGGGCTGGGTTTGAGAATTTTAGCATTATGTTGCTTGATTATAGATTCTATGTTATCCATGCAGCTATAACTTACTTTACAGCTATTTCTGTTAAAGACTGGCCGTAGCTGGTGGCCTATTGGGAAATGCTTGTCTATTAATTGCAGGAAATGCATGCCGACGTTCGTTCGGACATTCATGCTGTACGGCGGGTTGAACCATAATATATTCCTTCTGCGGTTCCTGCGAGGGGGTGATGGTTGGGAATATTCTAGTTTGCTGGTAAACCCACTACATTGAAGGGCGCTATCGTAGGTGGGGGCTGCTCTAGCGAATTCTTCGGGGTTGCATGAAAGCGACGAAACCCTCTTGGATATAGTCGATGGTAGCTGCTTAAGTATGGGAGGTGGATGGTTCGATTGGGAATTGATGTATGATGGCGGGTCATCTGGTTTCCTATATGGCACGTATTTGCCATTGGATAGATTTAGGGTGACGTCTAGAAAGTTGACCACGTATAGATTGGCTTGAGCCGTTATTCTTAATCCCAATTCTGCAAAAACCTCGCAGAACCGCTTGCGGATTCTGTCTCCTGTTCTAGGGCGCGCGTTACGGATGGCGGCCAATCCGTCGTCAAAATATATATATATATATATATATATATATGTTATTTACCGGCTGCGAGATCCGGATGAGAAAAACTGTGCCCGATTTCTTCCTTGCTCTGTCATCTTGTGAGACATTCTGTCTTTCAGGAACTGCATTTTCATACGAAGACTTCCCAAAAGGAATTCTAAGAACATGCACGGCTAATTACAAGCTAAAACAGCTCTGAAAGAACTCCTAAGGAAGAAGCTATTTCGCCGACCTCAAGGCGTCATGACATCATTGTTAACGACGATCGTTTACGAAGCTCTACGAAGCTCCTACAAAAACACGACAACTGAACTTGTGCTTGCTATTTGGATTCGAGGAGCTAGAAAATCGGGTATTCAATGGAGTTGGGGAATATGGGGCTCCCCAAACTCGAATTCGTCAAAATTCACTCGCGTTTCTTAAATAATGATTGAGTTGGTGTACCGCGGTGAATAAATTGTGTACATAGCCCGAACTATACCAGTTCCAAGCATACACGTGATCATCTTGTTCTCGACTCTAAATACGTCTTTAGACAAGTAAGAGAAAGCAACAACAAATAAACTCCTGGCTGCTCGTCCCATTAAACGATTATTCGAGTTTCTCGTTAATGTTTTTCAAATCTCACTCATTCCACTGATCCACTCCTAAAAATCGCCATACGTTTGAGATCAGTGGGAGGTCCACTCAAGAAACATAGTGATGTGCCCGCGATTATTGGCGAACTTTGGACTTCGCTAATGCATTTCTTTTCCCGGGAGTAAATAGCCGTGCAGAATAAGTACCTTCGCCCCGGGCATATACGATACTCGTTTCGCGTGATGAACTTCGAGCGTATATAATATCATATAAAAATAGTAGTGAGGCGGATATGTGTAAACTTATTGATCAGTAGTTCCCGTTGAGGTTAAAAGCATCAAACTTTTACTATTGATGTAGTTTTATTTGCTTAATAGATATTTGAAGTGAGGCCATCGCTATTTTGCTGCTATCTCCTGAAAACGGGGGAGTAGCGATTTTCTTCTATTGAATTCTATTATAGCCAAAAAATGTGAAATTTTGTATTCAATTACAACAAATATGACTTGCATCATCAGAAAGCTTATAAAAAACTGCATATAAGACGTTTAGACAGTTTTTTGATTTCTGAAATAGTTTTCAAATTATAAACTGTTAAAAACGCATTTTCAAACATCGAATAATTAATTAGGGACTTTTAGCGAGATAATGTGCCTAATTTACAGCAATAACCATTTGAAGAATAAAAAAACTGTTTAAACGTCTTTTATGTAGTTTTTTACAAGCTTTCTGATGATGCAAGTTATATTTGTTGCGATTGAATTCAAAATTTCACATTTTTTGTTGTAGTAGAATTTAATAGCAAATAATGCTAATAGCATCGTAACTCTCTAAAAAAAGCAGTTTCACGATGGCCCCACTTTTGCATGTTGTTCTACTCATAAAAAGATGCTACTGTGCACAATTTGGTGCTTTTAACCCGCTTCGGAAACATCCATGCACATATCCGCCCAGTGGCGTTCCTGGGCCATTTCTAGTGGGGGGGTGTAGCATCCCATTTTTACCGACGAAAAGGGCGTTTCCCTTTCCAATTGTCGAACATTACAATACAAATTTTTATAGGATAAAAGTTTTAATTTGAGTATACATATTTGGTAATTTTCAAGTATGGTACCTATGCACATATCATATACCTTATTTAGCAAAACTAGATTTTTATCATTCTTGATTTATATAAAGACCACGAGTTAGCTACTTTATCCAACTCAAGTTCGTCTAATATATCTACAGATGAAGATAAAATCATCAAGTCGTCAAGACGGTTTTCTTTCATCGTTGATCGCAAATAGCTTTTAACAAGTTTTAGTTTACTAAATGAACGCTCATTACTTGCGACAGAAACTGGAATTGTTAATGCGAGCTGGTACGCTTTCGTCAGGTTGGGATAAAACTGTTGTTTTCCAAGTACACACTTCGCTGCTTCCTTCAGATTTTTGGCACCACTTTTCTCGATATCAGAAGATATTAACTTAATCTCTGCACACATAGCGTCTGGATCTTTGAAGTCCTGTGGAAATGCTGCGCATAAATTTTCCACTTCTTGCTTGGAACAATTGGGTAAATTTGTTGGAAGCAAAATAATTATAGGTAGCACAATATCAGATAAATATTCATCAATTTCGTTTATGTCCGATACAAGACGATCTAATACCTTAAACATTTCTTTCCGATAGTGTTGGCTAAAGCTAGGCACAGTAGCATTGGCAAAATTTTCGTCGAAACGGGCAGATGCTCTCCGCGGTCGGTGTCGTTTTGAAAATTCGTACTCCACATTGATTCCATAGGACTCGCATTTCCCGGTTGCTGCTGATATAATTCCCTCCATAGCAACATCATCTTCGCGCATGCGAAGCATTTCGTTTCGGGTTTGCTGTAGTACTTCGACACTCGCTAGGATATCTTGCTCGATTTCTTGCATTTCCATCACCACAATCTTCGCTTTGTAAAGCACATTCTTCATAAACAAAAGACTGACATAAAATTCAAATGACTTTAATTTGTCTAATAAATTTTTGGCAGTCTTTTTGGCATCATGATCTGTTTCATCACACTCGTGTATATCGTGAAGAGTGCCAATCACCGTTTCATAACTGAACCATACAGCTTTGATTGACTCAGCTCTGCCAATCCATCGAGTCTGCGAAAGATTCTTCATGATGAGCCCTTCCTGTAAACTTTCGATTTTGCTCTTTAATTTTCCGAATCTACCTGTGCTTTTTGTTAGGAAGTTATAAAGCTCTTGCAATGTGGTAAAAAACTCCTCGATCATAACGGAAGATTTACAGGAATGTTCGACGCAAAGATTTGTTTTATGACCAAGACAAGTAATGTAGGGTATTTTTCGCTCCAAATGCTCACTTAACTTCGCTTGTGCCCCATTGTAAACCCCGGACATCGAAGCTGTTGCATGTATCATAGCACTGAAAACGTATACCAGCATGGGGAATACCCAATTCTGTTACCATTGCTAGAACCTTTTGAGAAAATCCATCACCGGTTTTAGAAGAGATCTCTGATATTTTGAGAAGCCGTTCTTGGATGCGAAACTCTGCGTCCACATAGCGTATAATTAAAGATATTTGATCGGCATGAGCAACATCGGGTGTTGTGTCAGCAAGTACAGCGTAAACAGCCGAAGAACGTATTTGTTCTGTTAAAATGTTGCGCACTTCAACTGCTAAAAGGTTGATCAATTCATTCTGGGATTTACCACTCAAGTAAGTGACACGGTTTGGACGTAAATGGGCTGTGGTCAACCAGGTTTTTAGAAAAGGAATCCAGCGTGACAATAGGTTTACTAATTGTCTAAAGTTTCCATTGAGATCATCATCGCCACCACGAAAAGCAAGGGCTTGTCTTGACAAGTATCTACAACAATCTAGAATAACTTTAATAACTTCTCTATTGTGCAGACGTTCCCGCTCTTCTTGGGCAAGTAATTGCTTTCTCGCATTAGATAATGCTACATCTTCTTTTTAGATAATGCTACATCTTCTTTTTGAAAAAATATCGAACCGATCAACCGATGCTTTATGAGCTGCACTAGTGAAGTGCTGTACCAGTTTTCCTTGCTTGCTTTTCCCCCGGCCTTTCATCTTATCCCAGCGGTTTGCTCCATCTTTTGTCCATGAACATGATGTCCCAGGACCCTCCCCGAACAGGCTGCAGGCAAAACAAAAAGCTCGATCCAGAGTTGGACTGTATTCCAAAAAAGGCATTGATTCGTACCATTTTGATGTAAACGAATTTTGTTTCGATTTAGCGATTGTCTGGTTCGTTGGATAACTTTCAAGAATCGGCTGACAAGGTCCCAAGGCTATTAGAAAATTCTTTTGTGACTCATTCAGCTTTACCCCAATACGTTCTGCTGGATCGTTTGTCACGATAGAAGACTCCTCTTCAACTGATTTTTCCAACGTTTGCTTCAGAACGTTTTCTTCACAAGTTAAAGCTTCTTTTGATGATGACAATAACAAGTGACATTTTTCTTTCAAATCTGACACAAACTTCTCGATAGTTGAAATAAATACATCTTGGCTATAATCTTCCGACGCGAACGATTCGTGCAAATCTTGGGCCTCTTTTAGCACATCCAGAATTTCTCCCAACATGCCCGCTAATTCATGGTCTTCTATTGTTGACTGCTCAGGTCCATCATCTTAATAAAATTACAAGGATTTACACTATGCCTACATTTCTTCCAAAATTCTACAAAGTCCAAGACGTTAAAGACATAAATTTATGAAAGTGAATTGAAGATGACTTACCAACGATAGCATGGGTTGAATAGGGTCATTAAACTGAAAGTTCGATGATGAATGAGACGATGTACTGGCAGCACTGCTTATGTCATCTTCTGGAAAGTCCGGGGTGTTAGTTTCGACGAGAACATCACTTATTGAATCCTTATCTATTTTCTGCTTCTTTGCTTCTTGGATTGTTTGATCCGGTTCGTTTTCGATTTTATTCCAACCTCGTTTTTCTATGGATATTTCTAATTCTGGGTCACGCGCATCACTCACGAATGATGGTACTTCTTCTTCTCTTGATGTTGAGGGAATATCTTCATCTGAGCTCACACTGTCCGTATTTTCTTTGTTCTTAGTCTCTGTGTCCGCACTTTCAGCAGTCAGTTTCGTCGAAACAACGGTAACTTTCCGAGCGGCTGTGTCAAACGGATTTTTGGGCGCCCCAACTACTTCGTAGCGAATAGCTTTACGCTCTTTCTGCAAATCATGGTGTTTTTTTGAATTATGCTTTTTCTTGTAATCAAAATCCATTTCAACACCACATTCTAAACATTTAATTTTAAATCGATTTTTTCGTTCTTTTGGAGGCATCGTTTCGTTTCGTACTTTTGTAGCGTTCCAAGACCATATAAAGTATGATGATTTGTCTACGTTTATATATATTCTAGATAAGTAGGGCATTTCCCATGACTTTACATAATTTACATCTACTACCGGTACGCAAATCGTGGGCGATACCGCCGATACGGAAGGGAGTGCTTACCGCAGTGTGCCATGTCATTGGCCATTTGGGCCACCCGCAAATAATGCAAATTCACTAGATGTTTACACAATCGTATCGTGACAGTTTGCTTTTTCAAAACGCTTTAACAAAATGCCAGAAATGAGTAAGATCGCTAAGATGTGCTGTACAGCCGACGAGTCAGCCGACGCGTATGTATCATAGTATGTGACGCGCTATGTGTACAAGTTTATTTTTAATTTACAAAAGTTGTCACACAAGAATTAGACAAGCATAAATTACGTAGTACTTTACATGAAAGATGTTGAGTAAAGGCGATTATATTCAGATTCTAAATGTGCAAATTGGTTTATTATTTGTCTATGCTTTATATTTTAGTGCTTATATATAAATAATATATACATATAATTTTTGTTCATTCAGCTAAAAGCAATTGCGCGAAAGAACCGACGACCGTAACGATTTTGAAATGCGATGTTGTATAATTTACACAAATACACAATGCGGTGAGCCGGTGAATGCTATTAAATCGCGCATCGATTATCGGATTATATATATTATATTATAGTTGACAGATACATTACGCAAATACAGGATTAGCGCAGCGCGTGCTGACGCAATTTAACCGACCACAGGATATCAATGTAAAACCACTATCGAATAACGTATTTCTCAATAAACATTATTCTGTTAGACATGATCGAGCATTTAATCGTCAGCAGAAATCTTGAATTCTTGATTTACCAACGAAATACCAGATGAAATTGCAGAATAATTGCTTCAGTTTTAATACATTTTTGTTACTTCTCATTTTAGTATTTTACCGACGATGAATTAACTAGTTTACCGACAAGCCTTCAATTTTCCGATTTTACCGACAAACTAAGAGGAAACTGGGGGGTGTAACACCCCCCACACCCCCCGCCCGACACGCCTCTGTATCCGCCACACTATAGTCGTTTTCCGTCATGATATGTCCTAAAGAATACACTTCGACTAAACCAAGCTTCATAAAATATAAACACAAGATATTAAGTGAATAAACGTCAACATGGTACATTCAAAGTTATTACCGTCGTTGTAAGATATTTTTCGCCGCCATGGAATTAAGTCGGCGGCAAAGCCAATTAAAGACAAAAAATTAAAGACAAAAGCCAATTAAAGACAAAAAATGAAAAATGAGGACAAAACTGTCAAAAAATAAAATCAAGAGGAAATCTCTTGTTGCTTGATTTTCGCGCAAAAGCCCGCTGGCCGCAAGTCACTGCCGCATCACATGTCGATCACATTCTCTTCCCCAGAGCCATTTTTACTCGGTCACTCGTTGAAAATTAGGCTCTGGGTTAGACGACTAAAGGGCGGGATCTGATTGACTTTTCGGAGAACTGCTATTACCCAGAAGTTGAGCAGTTTTCACCATAGGCAAAATTATTCTATCAAAATAAAGGTAAGTAAAACTTTATTTGACCACGCTAATCCCCATAGCAAAAACTGATTTAATTGACTTAACCAGCCATATATCGCAATATCTGTATTAAAAGTAGGAAGAGAAGAATGCATATTCCTCAAATAATCTGAGAGGTTGTTCCACAACAGGTCTCGAAATAAATTTGGAAGTTATACCGATCGTAGAATCTTAAATTCACCAGCCACAACGGATTTTTTGCCGGTCATCTTTTGTTTTAACCTCAAACGCTGCAAGACATTTTAAAATGTTCTTTATAAAACTACACTGTCACTGCCTTTATCGAAAAACTTTGTCGAAAAACAAGTTTGAAATAAAATTATTTCTAATTCTCGCATTCAAATAACTTTGCTTTCTTTTTTATTTAAAAATTTCAATATATATAATAAAAAAGGGTAATCAAGAAAAACACTGAAATTATATGCTGTCTTTTTTAATTTAAAATATACGCAACGATTAGCTTTTAAAGCAATTATAAAGCGAACAATACTTCAATATTTAAAATAAACTTACCTTCGTTAACGTCGGCTCCTTTATACTCCCTTCTTTTAGCAATTCCTCCGCCTTTATTTTCTCAAAAAGCTTTTGAAATTTACAAAATCGTGCAAAAATTAAATATATTTGCAAGAAATCATCAAATCAAGAAATAATGATTTTTGAGACGTTCTCTGGAAATCCTGGTCGCACTTCCAGCGCATATTTAAATCAAGAAACGTTCGCTATTTCGTTGTCGTCATGCAGCCGTTATAATGCAAATTTTATATTCGACCAATCAGTAAAAATAGTAAAAACAATTTTTTAAACCAATGAATATCCTGGCGAAAAACCTGTCTCGACAAAGTTCGCACATGTTTTGTAGAAAATTAAAGCATAAGCTTCGTTTAAAATTAAAGAAGAAGCTAAAGTTTGAACGTCATTGGTAACAATTCAACAACAATTTTTCTTTTCTTTTTTGAATGCACTTCTCAACTCATTGTAATCCTGAAATCCAGTTTGTTTCCCAACGACTTCCAGCCACTTTGCCTGAATAATTTCTTTAGTTTTGTCATCCATCAACTCTCGTCCTTTCGTGGCAGATCCTGTGACAACCTTACTGGGTACAGCATTATCAGGTACCCCACAAGCTTTATTCCGATAACGCGCATAGCGTACGCCCGGAAACTTTCCCTTATTCTCCCTCATAAATTCAAGGAAGCTCATTCTGACAGCATTCTTAATCCTTTCTTCATCCTGAATTCCTATAAATGCCGCAATCATCCTAACTACACTTTCTAAATCATCTTTCATATCCTCAAAGAAAACAGATAAAACATTCGAGTCATTCCTGTGTTCCCACCAGCTGAGCAAGTGCACAAAATAGGATGCATTTTCCATTTTACTTTTTGGTATATCATGAGCAAGTAGAAAACTTTTACAAATTCATGAAGTGAAAGTTCTCCAGGTTGAAACATCCAACCCTTTAGGTAATTAAAGTGACTGTAGAAAGCAGCACATGGTTCACGGTAAATAACAATGTATTTAGCACCGTTAGGACAGCAAGGATACCATACGTGAGTCTGTAACATCTAACAATGGAAACAGGCATATCCTAAATTATTTGCTTAGTAGTTGACCTACATCTAAGCACGTAAACAAACGAGTTAATCTCATTAATCTCATTAACGAGACGAAACAAATGTATATACGGTTCACTTGTTTCGACGCGTCCAAAACGCTCACAGTTGTGCTCAAAAAAGTTGGCAACTTCATCAGAAGTGATTGTATTATCAGATAATGTCAGCTCAGTTTTTGGTAAGTATTGACTGTTATTATACTCTACTATACATTTATACAAGGGTACCTGCAAGGTAGGGATTGCTGCGAGCATTAATTAAAAGCAAACAGAACTACAGTAAATAGCACAAATTATATCAAGCACAGTTATTACTCGCAGCGACTATAGTGAGCTGTGAGCTTAAGGCCTAAAGGCGGTTTTCCAGTCCTCGCATGGAGCTTTTCGCAGCTCGCTACGAGTGCTTGCATCTAATTAAAATTAACTGTTTAGCATTGTGATTGGATGAAAGTGCTCATGCATGCCTTGCAGCGAGCTGCGAGGAGCTTCGTGCGAGGACTGGAAATCCGCCTTTAAGCTAATCGATTCTTACCATGAGTGGAACTGAGAAAAAAGCAATGTATATATAAAGTAGCCAAGACCAGGGGATAAAGGGCAATCACAGGTGACAGATATTCGTGCGTCTCATTGACTATAGATGTGCGTCTCATTGACTACAGGTAAATTAATTATATAACACAAGTTTTTGCTATCAGATTTCAGATCAAGTCTGTTTACTGCTAGGCGCCAGGGCCGTTTTTATTATTATTATTATTATTATTAAATTGAAACCACATTGCAGCCAGAAGCTGAATTGCGCGGATTACATATTATCACATGCACTACATATAAATATATTATTAATACAATATTATAAAACCCACCCACGATCAAAATTCGATTAAAATAAGCATAAAATCTATCCTACAAACTTCCTACACATAGCAGGGATAAAAGAGTTATAAAAGCGGTTCGTGCGTGTAACGTACATATTAAAATACCGATTCGTCCTGAAAGAATAATCAGTCTCGTTCTTCGGGGGCAGCAGATGATGAAGTTTATGCATTGGATCCTTGATGATACTCGTAAAGAGTTTGTCACACATGTCCTCTCTTCTTTGAAATAGAGTAGGCAGTCTATAATACTCAAGGGCCTCACAATATGTCATTTCGGGAGAAAAAATTTTTAGCACACGTTTCTGGACAGTCTCAAGTTCGTCTGCCAAATACTTTGGGATGGAATGATGGAAGGCTTGCGCACAATACTCGAGCACAGGCCTGATCACTGTACAATAAAAGTTCAAAACATCTTTGACATTTACGCCTGCCCGTTTCAATAATACTATAAAATAGAGGCGTTTATTAGCTTTCTTTATACTCTCTCTGATGTTATCTTTCCACTGAAGTGTGCCTGTCATAACAAGACCCAATATTTTTGCACTCTCAACTATAGGCAATGCTTCTCCACCCACCAATACAGGATCAAAAGGTTGTTTAATTTTTTTAAAATCGATTCTCAGTTCTTTACATTTCTCAGCGTTAAGAGATAGCCCATTTGCCTTCGACCAATCTTCCACAACATCAACTGCGACTTGAACACGGCTCTCTGTGTCCTTACTAACTACTTCAGCAACTGTTGTGTCATCAACAAACTTCCACCTCGATATATCACAAATATCAAGATCGTTTATCATTAAACAAAATAGCCAGGGCCCTAATTTTGTACCTTGAGGGATACCGGAGAGTACATCTCCCCACTCCGAATAGCAGTCGTTGGATAATTTCACTCTCTGCTTTCGATTCATCAAAAAATCGATTGTCCAGCGAGCAACCGCACGTGGAATAGCTAAATTGGAAATTTTATCAGCCAGTAAAGCATGATCGATACGGTCGAATGCTTTTCTATAATCGAACAGGATGACTCTGACAGCAGAGCCAGTGCCATCAGTAGCTTGCGACCATTCATGGATCATAGATATAACAGCGAGAGTAGTTGAACTTCTTGGTATTACTCCATATTGACTTGGATCGATTATACTCATGATAGCTGGAGCAATGTATTTTTTAACAACACAGTCCTCAGCGATTTTCGAAATAGCGGCAGTAAGTGAAATTGGTCGTAACTGCTTACAAATGTCGCTAACGGGCTTAGTTTTTATGAGGGGCACAATGTTGGCAAGCTTCCAAGATTTAGGTAGTTGTTGTTCGGCATAGCTGCTGTTTAGCACAGCGCATACTGGCTGTGCAAGGATTTCAGCATATTCCTTAAGAGCCCAATTGAGAATTTCGTCAGGACCTGACGCCTTTCCACGATTAATTGCTTTCAATAAATGAAAGACTTCCAATTCGTTCACTTGAAAAGAGGAATAATTATCAAAGGGGGGAAGGGTTGACAGTGGATTGAAGGAGTTCATGGGCTCCAAAAAGGCGTTATTAATTAAATTCGCAATGTCAGGACGTTGCATATTCTCGATATCGTCTAAATGAAGTTGACTACATAGGTCATCGGAGCCGGTTGTAGGTACCATACCAGCAATCTGCTTCACCTCCTTCCACCATCTCTTCGGTTTGGTCGATTTAAGATTCTTTACTTTTGAAGAGTAGAATTTCGCCCGGCATGCCTTTGTCGGTGAGGACGGTGACCCAGTAGCTGAATTGACGAAACTTGGGTGGTTCGTGATGAGCCCGTGGGCTGATTTTGACAAAACCACTGTTCTGATGACACAAACCTCTCAAAGTGACTACGAGAACCTCCGTCGTCTGAACGTGCTAGGGATTGCAGACAGCGGAGAAAATTATCAAGAGATGGTCTATCAAGATTTCAAAGAGAAACGAGCAGAAGCCGCACAGAAACAACAGCTACAGACAGACGTCTGATAAGAAACCCGCAAAAGAGTCTACACCTGATCAATCTCAAGATAACTCGCAACCCGAGAACCTTCCAAATCAACCAAATTCTGACAAGGAATCCCAGCCCGCATCAAATTCTCCACCTGCGCAAGATACTCAACCCAACTACCAGGCGGCCAATCAGGCACCTGGACTGACCTCTACTGCTCAGCAAGCAAATAACGGTGAAAATAAACCCATAAAGGATTAAAACCCTGAAAAATCTGAGCAGAATTCTCAAAATCCTCAACAACTAAACCCCACCAACGGTCAACGACAAAACATCGCTGCTGAGAACTTAGATTCAAAAGACAAGCAAAAACCCATCGAAGAAAGTGCCCCGCTAAAACCAAACTTGAAGGACGGAAAACAACAAGTGGAAGACCAACCAAAACCCGCAGCTAATTCTAAGCCCCCTTCTGGTCTGAAGTCAAAGGGAAAAAGCCCTGTTGGCGTGCCTTCGTATAGCTGCAAAGATTTGGTTAAGCAAGAGTTGGAAGCCATAAAAGATTCACCGTCTACCAAACAGTTTAAAGCTGATGTCTTGAAGGAGGTGCAAGTCAAATTTAAATCTGGCACCTTCCCTTAGATCGACACATCAAAGGTATTCGTCAAGCACAAAGTAGCAAAGACGAATAGAAAATACAGAGTGACCAAACCGGAACACAAGAAAGCCGAAGCCAAACATGCAATCGCGCACTAAAAAGGGCAAAGGAAATATGCAACCGTGCACAAGGAAAACGAAGCCAAACATGGAATCGTGCACAAGAAAGGCGAAGCCAAACATGGAATCATGCACAAGAAAGGCGAAGCCAAACATGGAATCGCGCAGGGGCATCGCAAGCTACATGGTAAAAAGAAGGAGGGAAAGAAAGCTGTGGAGAAAGCGAAATTGAATCGTAGATAGAAGAAACACCATGAACTGGAGGAAGTGGTGATGGACGTCGAAACGGCTCTTAACAACCGACCATTGAGTTATGTCGAGGATGACGTAGACTTTCCTGTATTGACACCATATTCAATGATGTTCCTGAACAATAACAACATCCCAGAACAGGACCCCCACCACATCGAAGATGGAGATCTCCGAAGAAGAGCTGGGTTTCTTAAACAGTGTGAAGAAGCGATATGGAAGCGATGGAGTAGGGAGTATATACGAGGACTGCGAGAACAACCTCGTCGAGCGACCAGTAACGAACAAAAAATACACCCACAAGTCGGGGAGGCAGTGACCATAAAGGACGAGCAGAAGAACAGAAACCATTGGAGATTGGCGATAGTGACGGACCTTATTGTTGGAAGTGAAATAGTGCATGTGAAAACAGTGTTATAGTGCATGTGAAAACAGGGCGTATTATTGTGAGACTGCGAGAAATACGAAGAGATTTATATACATTTTATACGCGTGTTCATTGTGATTTAATGTGATTGTAGAGAACATCTGTTCAGCGGAGGGAACATTCTCTACAGGGCTCAAGTCGCTGAAACAATGCGTAAAGACTTCTGTATGTGTTCAAAATCTGAATTTCATTTATGTTCTGTTCCACCGACGCAAGTGGAAATTAAAAGAGGATTTTGGGAAGATGTTGATCATGTTACAAGAATATCTTCTTCAGATACGATAGAATTTTTACGTGCTGCAAACTCTGGAGTTTATACTGACGTAGATCTGTCCCCATGGGATATGGAATCGGAGGCTTTTCCAAATCGCATTGTGATTGGACTGGTCGACGCAGATGCCTTTAACGGCACCTATACGAAAAACCCGTTCAACTTGAAAAATTACGATATTACAACCATGGGTCTCGCTGTCAACGGAGAGAGAACTTACCTGGAAAACCATTACAGTTGAAATTTGGAGCAGACAATAACTACATTTCTGCTTTTCAAACCCTGTACGCGGGTAGTCACAAGATTTTTGAAAATCAGGGCAACGGTATAACTCGTGAAGAATATGTAAACGGATATACACTGTTTGTGTTTGATCTCACTCCAGACCTATGCCTTGTGATCATGCACAACCGATTAAAAACCGAAATGTGTTGGGATTCTTATGGTTAGGCTCCTGGATTTTATAGACAAGTGGTGCAAATAGAAAGCACTAGTTTTTGTTTAAAAATACATTTATTGTAAAATTTTCTCTTACAAGAAATAAATTATTTTAACCATTTATATGGACTACTAGTATTGTCTCTGCGTTTTTTCCTCTTTTCTTCCGTTTGCACTCGTGGTGGGTAAATGTTCCGGGATTCTTTTATTAAAAAAGAAGCAGCCATCTGGATTTAATTCTTCCTTTTACGTAGAGAATCGTTCACCAAATCAACTATATTTGTGCTAGGAACCGATCTTCTTTTAAACACCATCTGGCCTTGTTCATTCCAACCAATAAGATCTTGAATTGACTTGAGCTTTTTGATGAGTTGTCGAGGCCTTGACTTAATAGTAACTGGTACACTATCCATGATACCTGTTTCAATCTCGTTTGACGGTTCCGTCTCTTCACTGGGCTGCATTCCTTGAGCTTCTTCAGCTAGATCGGTGTGCGTTACGTTTACTCGGAGAGATGTATTGAAATTCGTTTATCATAAAAGGTTAAATAGCGTTCCAGATTCTGGTCGTATAGCTTTGCCTTTTCATTGATTAGTATATATTGTCGTTGAACAATATCCTGCATGTCCGAGTCTATTTCGTTGACCTGTGTCGCCAAAGGCTCCTCTAGAGGTTTCTTTCGCTGTTCAACCGTATGTTCAGGGACAAGGACCAATCTTTTGACGTGTTCCATTATAAAAGTTAGCCAACTGTTCCAAAACTGAAGCGAGTAGAAACGGTAGGAAACCCTCCCCTTTTTGGACTAGACGTGTTCTTCTTTTTACGATAGGATTTTGTTTGTCAGGCGCAAACTTTATATGCTTGGAATGCGGTGCAAGTTTTTTAGCTGTTTTCGGTTTCAATTCAACCGTTTCAACCCAAACGTTTAATGGACACGGTCTTTGCTTCGGATAAATCATCTTCAGCCGCTTTCAAAATAGCTTTTCTCTGTTCGAGTTTGCACTTGCCAATAGCCTACTTTCAATACTTTCAGTTTGGAGTTCCTCTTCATACAAGCAGACATCCGATCAAACCAGCATTTTACACACGTTCCCCCATTCTTATACTCTGGATTGATCGACATAATGCATGTCGGTTGGAAAGATCCAGGATCGAATCCGTATCTCGTCAGGACATGTAGGAGTTAAGTCGACAAATACATAAGAATAAGGTTCTTTCGTTGCCAATTGGTAAGCTTGTTTGAAAAAATTCGTTTGACTCGGGTATTGTTGCATGTTTAACGAGAAGAGCAATTTCACTTGCATCGCAGATATTTTTCGTTAAACATAAATAATTTGAGAATATTGAGAGATATCGTTCGATGCTCTTTGCTCTGGTGAAACAAGTTTTGCACAATGTATATCACGCTTAGATTACCATGGTGCGATCTTTTGTGAACAATTTAGAAATCACTCCATCCTTTTCACCCATCATATCGTCAATGATGAACAAATTGCGTGTTTCTGGATTGATAATGCCGCGATCCGGCAAGCCTTTTATGAATTCTGTACCAGGCACTCAATTTTGTACTTCTCCAAACGCGTCTTGATATTCGGCATAGAAATAAACAATGTTTTCAGGCGTTGGATCAATCGGCACATTTTTCACACGATTTATTCAACATCATTGTGTGGTTTTCTTTCGGATGTTCACATTCTTTATGAGGCCTCCCGTCAGCGTAATCAATATGTATAACGTCGTTAGTACTGGAAATTTTGACAGCATGTTTCACACTGCGACATGGTAATGTCCAGGTGCCACAATTATCTTCATCACGTCCATGCATGGTGACCGACAAATAAATCACTTGATGAAACCTGGTGAATACCTTTAAAATAATCATTTCATTTACTGCGCTTTATTTCAGTCGTAAACTGAAAAATCCCACCCACCCTCCCTCTCTACAATTTCTGGGCGATTCTTTCTAATTTTCATGTAAAGTATTGACTGGCAAACGTGAAAATGAAAAGAGATCAATTCCAAATAAGCTAAGAGTACAAATTTTAGGTGCATGTCCGCGCTTTCCGAGTCTTTAAATTTTCAAAATTTTCTTGGGCCAAAGGACTCCGCCGAACCCACCAAGTAGACGTAACCCTGCATCTAAATGTGGTAATATACTTTTCCGAAAGAAATGCTTGCAACTTGAATGCTCTCATAAACATTTCACACTAAATCTCAAAGTAACGTATTAAAGTATTTATTTAAAAATATCGCAACATTTGGACCCTGACACCCCCACCCCCCGAACTACAATGTCTTCGCAAGGCTAGTCGAGCAACATCGTATCAAGGTCATAATCAATTTCAGAGAACAATTTATTTAAGCCGCGGCCCACAATAACTGGTGTATACTGTTGTGGTGACCCTGCCACTTGTTTGTTGTAAGTGGCGAACTTTAATAAATAAATAAATAAAAGTTTTTAGCGATGCGCTGTAGAGACACTGTTTAACATTCAAAAGATATGCTTATTATCACAGTAATTAGAATTGCGATTACGCGATAAACTATATACAGCTATTTCAATTAAGTTTGTCCTCCGAGCAAAGCGAAAAGTCGAATACGAGCGCGAAAGGCTGTTGGGAATCGGTAATAAATTTATTAATTTATTTGCGATTCCCAGCAGCCTTTCACGCTCGTATTCAACATTTCTGCAGTTAAAATATTATAAATTTTACCGGTCTATAAGCTATCTTATGATGTATTGAATATTTTTGTAGTCTTTTATTCATTGTAAAAATTTGGAAAAATAGTAAAATGAAGTAAAATGACATTCTATTATTTTAACAGATTTATGAAGAAAACTAGAGCATGATGTACAATGATATCCAAAAGAATAATTCATTTGATCATTGTTACTTGAAAACACTTCAAAAAGACTAATTAAGCTAGTCCATTTTACCGCCGCCATCTTGTTTTCCGCGTAAATCTCGCGCATGCGTTGACGAATTGCACCTATGTTGTTAGTTGAACCATTTAATTAATTTCTATTCGAACTGATTAGTAATTTGACAATTTCTACACAGCATATGCTCCTTCATACGATTAGAAAGTATTTTAAATTCCTGGAAGCATAAAATCTTGTAAAAAGGACAAAACAATAGACACTTCGAAATATAATTAAAATTTTAATCAACGTTTTGACTAGGTTTCAGTCATCATATTAAAATATATATATTTACAAGTTAAGCAGATCGAATTACGCGCTAATTAAATATCACAAGTTCCTCAAGTTGGCGATGTATATGTAAAGACTGCATATATAACAATAATGACATGTGTCTAGATTTATCTAAGATAGTACTGCAGTTTTTGTATATGTGGGCTTCTGTGGTATGTGGATCAAACTGGTCAGGTCACTACCTGACTAGTTAGACTAGTTAGAGTCTCGACTGGAAGTATTGAAAATGTGCCTAAAAAAAATATCTTGATTTCTAAAGGTCTCGTTTTTTTATGCACCCCGCTGTAGATGGATTTCAATTACTGATAGTGTACATCATCAGTAATTACGTTTGTAATATTTCACGAAATTTTTTGTCATAGGTTACCGTTAATATGAGTTTAATACAACGACATTTCGAAACCTCATGCATATTCCAACTATAGAGGGATGTCAAGTCCTCACATCTACCACTTGC